ATCATACTGTAATAATTGTCAAAATTATATCATTATAGAATATATATACATAATATGCTAATAATAAAAAAATTTGTTCAAATAAAAATCACGTAGAAAAAATATATTTTAAAGATATTTGTTGGAAGATGTACTCCCAGCATACTGGAAAGTATCGCGACGCTCCTGAGGTACAGCGTCACGTGAGCGGTCGGCGGCTCGGCCGCCGAGGCTCGAGTAGTAGTGGGGAGACAGTAGGCGTCGCCTCAGAAATCGGCTCAAAATGTGCAACTAATTCCGAGCACTGATATACACATTTAATTTTATACTTTTGACTCTTTAATTTTTATACACAATTTTACTCGTTAATTTTTATTATATTTAAGTACACATATTTAATTTTATTATTGTTATTCGCGTTCATTTAATTTTATTACAATTGAGTTTTGTATCGTCCGTGAAGTGCGTTCCTTACGGAACGTTGTTCCAAGCGTTTCCCGCGGATAGAGTGCTCGAGGGAGCTTTGGGCGAAGAAAACTGCTTGTTTCTCTGTCTTTGCACTTCATTTGAATTTCTCTCGTGCGAACGAACGCGATTACAAACACACAAACTGAACACAATTAACGGAATCACGACGGTAATCAGAGATCCTCGTGCCGCGTGCAATCGACAGGACGGAAGGACAGCCATTATCGGCAGGATCGAAGCTTGATGACGAGCAGCGCGCGTAGCGGCGCGGTTGATCGATTCGCGAGGGGTCGATCAATCTCAGTGACGGGACTATGAACGGGAAAAATGATACGGGTACCGAACACGCCGCCCGCATTGAAAGTAGTAACTTTCAATGTAGAATACAATTAAGTATGAATCAGTCAGCGTGACATGAAACGCGAACAAACTGAAAACAAAAAGAATTGAGTCATTCTCAACTTAGAGGTAAAACTAATAATTTGCGCGCAATATGGTATAAAAAGGTAAACGTAAAGGCTGAGCGCGCTTAATTCTAACAGATTAATATAATATCGATTAGCATTCGATCGGTAAGATTGCTAATTTAGACAGCGGCCGCACGTACGAACCCTTAGTAGTTTTTACCAATGCAGTGCGTACAAGACCGTCGGGGCCCGGATGAACTTCTTGGACTCGCCCCATCGCCCATTGAAGGGGGGCTAAATTTTGCTGTTTTATTAGCACAAGCTGTCCAGCTGACAACGGAGTGCCCTTGTCAACCATCCATTTAGATCTCGCTTGTAAAGAATGGAGATATTCATTGCTCCATCTTCGCCAAAAGTGCTGTCGGGTTTGCTCTACGCGTTGCCACCGCAATAATCTATTCTCGTTGACGTCGGTGAAATCAGCGTAAGGCAGACCATTTAAAACCGTGCCAACCAAAAAGTGTCCCGGACTTAGGTACGCTAGATCATTGGGATCGGAGCTTAGCGGCGTTAAAGGTCGCGAGTTGAGAATTACTTCAATTTCGCAAAACACCGTTTGCATTTCTTCAAAAGTCAGGAGGGCCTTGCCTACGATTCTAGTCATGTGATGCTTAGCGAATTTTACCCCGCCTCCCATAATCCTCCAAAGTGAGGCGCGTTGGGGGGAATGAAATTCCATGAAATTTCTAACTCTAGAAAAAGGTCTTTGATTTTGGCTTGGATCTCGTGACTATTGTAGATGTCGTACAACTCTTGGATCTGCTTTTGGGCGCCCACGAATGTGGTCCCATTGTCCGAATACATGTGTGAGGGCTTACCTCTACGCGATATGAATCGCTTAAATGCGGCAATAAATGCTTCGGAAGTGAGATCACTCACCAATTTCAAATGAATTCGCTTTCGTGGCGAAGCATACAAAAAGTAAAACATATGACTTGTGACTTCGCGCATTACGACGCTTTCCCTCGCGCAACAAGAACGGCCCAGCGTAGTCCACGCCGCAGTGGGAGAAAGGTCTAGAAACGTTAACTCGGGTAGCTGGCAATGAACTCATTAAGACCTCTGATTGAGCGGGTTTAGCCTTGAAGCAACCTATACATTTTTGTATTATGCCACGCGTTGTGGATCGCAACGATAATGGCCAAAAACGCTGGCGCACAAAGGCCATTGTGGCCTGCAAACCCGCATGCAAATTCCGCGTGTGCTCACGCTCTATAATACGCTGCGTTAAAATATGCTTGCGCGGCAATAATATTTGATGAGACGCATCGAATGATAACTTAGAATTTTTTAGTCTCCCGCCTACTCGAATTAGGCCACTTTCGTCCAAAAAGGGTGATAACGATGCTAGAAGAAAGGTGATAACGTAGCGCTAGAAGTGTTTATGGCATTGCCTTTAGACAACGCTTGATATTCGCTGTGGAACGCCTGCCGTCGGACCGTTCTGCAAATACAATTTAAAGCGGTGGACATTTCAGCGGAAGATACGGAATTAGAAACCGCATTCGCGCGGTGCGCCTTGGATAATCGCAAACAGTAAGCTATGATACGGCATATCTTATTCAAACTAGAATATTTATTTAGCAAGATGCTCACAACGCATGGATGTGGATTGGAAATGGAGGCGGCTACGAGAACCCTCTTTTGCTCGGGGAGATCGTTCTCTAAATGCGCAAAGCTGCTGGATGGCCACCGTTCCTCGTCCCACTTCAGAAATGCGGGTCCGTTCCACCACGTCTTCGTATCGATTAAATCGTGAGGGTTTAAACCCCGCGACAACATGTCGGCCGGATTGTCCGGAGATGCAACATGATGCCAATGCTTGATGTCGGTCAATCGCTGGATCTCTCCTACTCTATTTGCCACGAACACCGACCACCGCCGTGAAAAGGAAGTTATCCAGTTCAACGCGATGGTTGAGTCCGACCAAAGGTATGTCTGGCATTTTGAAATGTCCAACGATCCTCTAACCTTGGCGATTAAACGCGCTAATAGTAAAGCAGCCGATAGCTCAAGCCGCGGTAACGAAACTGCTTTGAGGGGTGCGACGCGAGATTTCGAACATAATAATTCAGAATGATACTCGTTACAACCGAATTGAGTGCGGATATATATACAAGCGCCGAAGGCGCGCTCACTAGCGTCACAAAATCCGTGCATCTGCACGAACTGATGAGCATCGGGCTTAATGCATCGGGGAATCTTCAGATGATTCAACGCACCTAATTGCGCCTTGAAAGCGACCCAACGAGTGCGAATATCCGGAGGAACGGATTCGTCCCATTGAATGGACAATTGCCATAAGTCCTGGAGAATGAGTTTTGCGACGACGATGACTGGCCCTAGAAGGCCCAAAGGGTCGAATAACTTAGCATAGTCGGAAAGTATGATTCGTTTAGATACAACCTGAGGTTCCGACTCAGTGTTGCACAGGAATTGAAAGGTGTCCAGGCACTGATTCCATTGCATGCCCAGAATGTGTGAGTCCGCAGAGTTGTGGTCAATGGCGATTGGCTTGCATTCATGATTGCTTACTCCTAAGAGATCAGGGCAATTGGTCGCCCATTTGCTGAGTTCGAAGCTCCCAATTTTAGCAAATGAACTGTTTCATCGCAAATTGATTTTAATTCGGCTATCGTGTCTGCTCCGGTGAGCGTGTCATCGACATAGAAGTCTCGAGTGACGCAGGCTGATCCGTGAGGAAACTGAGCAGAATGTTGCTCAGCCAAATATCTTAGGCACATGGTGGCCAGAAATGAAGCAGAAGCCGTACCGTAAGTGACGGTGGTGAGCTCATAGGTATCAATATCAGCAGAAGAATGCTCGCGCCAAAGTATCCTTTGCAGACACGTCTGAGATGCATGCACTGAAATTTGCCGGTACATTTTCACGATATCGGCGGTGATGACGTAAATGAAAAAACGGAAGCGCATCAAAATTGAGATCAAGTCCTGTTGAACGACCGGGCCCACAAGTAGCGCATCATTCAGAGATACGCCGGAGCTGTTACGGCAAGAGGCATCAAATACTATTCGTATTTTCGAGGATTGTCCAACAGTCTTGAATACGCAATGGTGCGGAAGGTAAAATGATATCGGTTCGTCGGTTATGGGCAGCTCTAACCGCCGCATGTGCCCCAGCGAAAGATACTCCTCGAGAAACGCCTCATATTGAACCTGTAACGATGCCCCCCTAAAATGCATCGTCCCTACGTGGTGCCATCGGGAAAAAGGGGCGAGGCGCCTGCAAATAGAGTATTATAAAATAGTTCGCAGGTACAGCAGCCGCAGTAGAACCGCCAGTCTCGCCGAAAGGTGCCGACCGCCGTCGGGAACCGCCGATCGGAAATCTTCTCCCACGAGAAGCCGATCGGCGGAAAATACCGCGACCGACCGGAGCTTTACGAGCGAGACTGACGACCGAGTATAAGATACCGCGATATCAAGCCGCGCGTGGCATTTTGCCTTCACCCACGTTCCTGACACATCCGATCCGATCACCAGCTCACGATACCGATCCAGCGACTCGCTCGTCCGACGAACCTGAGGGGTAGGGTGTACCCTGCCTCTGCCGGGCGCTCCCGGCCGCCGAACGAGCCGTCCAGGAGACGCATCTACAAGCGCACAACTAATTCGCGTGTTGCTCCGACGAACCTGAGGGGTGGGGTGTACCCCGCCTCTGCCGGGCGTTCTCGGCCGCCGGACAGCCGTAATTAGCTATCACTCCCACCTTCCGAACCTTCTTTTTCCGCATCCCGAAAATCCCGTCTTGGTACTTGACATACGAAAAGGGGTAGGGCGCTCCCTGCCTCTGTCGGGCGTTCCCGGCCGTCAAGTACCAACTCCGTCTCCTCTATCCTAGCAAACCAAATCACGTATCGCGCCGCGAAACGACGCTTGCTGGCGTATACCCGCGTCCCGCCGCGTTGCAACGCGCCGCCGAGAAAACCCGCGATCGCTTGCACATATCTCGCGCCGTTTGAGAGTCGTTAGTTGTCGTTGCAGTGTCCGCGTCCGTTGTCAGCGATAATCTATATGTACATACTCTTGTTGTCCGCGCTCGTTTAGGTATACATATATTCGGTTACCCGCGCTCGTTTACTTTCTTCGCTGTATTGTTGTCAGTCGCGTCCGTTAGTTATATATTTCTACATGTTATTTTCGCGTCTATTATTGTAAATTCGTTATCATAAAATTGTCTTAATAAACCATGTTTCTTGTCCAACTCTTATGTTTGCATTAGTATTTTTCTTTTCCGATTTCCGACGCTTCACATAATTTTCCGCCACACCGTTCCGACGCGAATACTCTTTCCGCCGAACCTTTTTTATACGACACGCATTTTT